TGTGTGGTTGCGAAAAAATCGTCGCACAAAGACCTTAATAAAGTAAACGGCATAAATGTAGACATTAAATGAAGGATATAAAAAATTCCTCTGAATAATAATAAAAGATGAAAATTGTGCATATGAAAATTCAAATAAAGTTGAGTAATCAATGCAAGATAATAAATCATAAAAATTCATAATAAACAGTAATAATATGAAAATCAGCAGATAAATAATATATTAATGAATATTGCAATAAGAAAAACTAAATACTACAACAAAGCCAGATAAATTTAAAATGAATGAGTGGTTAAAAATTTATTTTGGGCGATGCACAGTGGGCCAGTAGGTGGACAAAACTAAAAAAATTTATGTCTGAAAACTGAAATTCTTTTTAAAAAGTTTTTACTTAGATACATTGAGGACCTTAAAAATAATTACAATAAATTAAAAAAATATATATTCTCAACAAAAACTCATTTCAAGTAAAATTTTTGCAAAAAAAAAATGGCGATAAAGTGAGAAAATGTAGTTTTTAAAAAAGCAAAAGTGTGTAATAAATTTTTAGTATATTGGTTAACTGTTTTTATTAACATATCAAATAATTGTTAATATATAAAATTTATAAAAAAAAAAAAAGTTAAAAAAAAATTTTAAACCAGTTTTAGATATATTTTTTGGTAAAAATTGGACTTTTTTTTTAATTTTTTTTGAAAAGACAACAAGGAAAAATTTGTGCTCTATTTTGCCTTTATCTCTTATAGATATTTTGAAGGCTATATGTATATGTTTTTATAAAATTATTAATTTAGCTGCTAGTATCTGCTACTTTTTTTAATACTTATAATACTTTTTAATACTTATACTTTATAAAATCAAAGATGTTTCTTTTTCAAGTTTCTTTTGTCGCAAAATAACAAGTATTTATATATATATATATATATATATATATATATATATATATATATATATATATATATATATATATATATATATATATATATATGTTAATACAACTTTTTAATGTTTATATTATTTTAGTCTAATAAAATTATTATTAGTAATATGTCAACCATCACAAGATATCAAATTCATCAATTCATAAGACAGTAGGTTTATCTATGTCTAATGAAAAAGACAAACTTTATGTTTACAATTTTATTCGTGAATACTGTTCTGAATTTGATGCTCAGTTTGTAACCTTTTTGTCCAAGTATCGTAAACGTTGGTCTTTAAGTAAAAGAATTGATGAAAACTTTATGAAACATAATTCAGTATGGCTTCAAAAAGACTTTATTAAGTCATTTAAAAATCAGGATAATAAAACTGAATCTATAGTTAGTGGTCGACCTGTAAAATTATTTGATGATTCATCAAATAAGACAAAGAGTCGTAAAGTAGCAGCTATGGACTTATTAACTTGTTCATCAAATGAACTGTTGTATGCTAGTAGTTGTAATCTTTTTAAAGATTGCAGAAGAAAGGATGCAAAAGTAGTTCGAAGTTTATCTATTAAGCAACCTTTTGATACAGAACATACTCAAAACACTCTAAATGAAGCTCTAGCACTCATATTAGATATTGATATGAGCAAATCTGATTACCAACGCTTGAGAAATAATGCTTTGAGCAAAGGTTGTAATCTCTATCCTGCTTACAATGATGTTCGTGCTGCTAAAGAACAGTGTCTTCCTGAAAAAACATTATGGACTGTAAATGATTTTTCAGCAGAAATAAACTTTCAAGCATTAGTCGATCATACAGCAATACGCCTAATACAGTTGCAGAAACAAGTTAATGATTCAATGAATGATCTTGAAAGGTTGACTTTATATTCTAAAGTTGGGTTTGATGGATCAACTAGCCAAAGGATTTATAATCAAGTAACAGTTGAGAAAGAAAACAGAGGTCTTTTAGAAGAAGCTAGTTTGTTTATTTCTTGTTTTGTTTCACTTCAGTTGTTTGGATTCATTAATGATAAAAAAATAATAATTTGGTCTAATCCACATCCATCTTCAACTTTATATTGCAGACCAATAAGATTTTCATTTAAAAAAGAAACCATTGAAGTTTTGAAACAAGAGAATCAGTTTATTAACAATTCAATTGCAAATTTGTCTTTAACATTTTGTGAAAACTTAACAATACTTCATAAAATTGAAATAACGATGGTGGACGGCAAAGTTGCTTCAGCATTATCTACAGCAACTACATCTTCTCAGTGTTGTTCTGTTTGTGGATGCAGCCCAAAAAAAAATGAATGATCTTAATGCAGCTAAAAATATGCCATTGACAGAGATAGGTCTCTGCTTCGGTCTTTCAACTCTCCATGCTTGGATTAAAAGCATGGAATGTCTTCTTAAAATTAGTTATAAATTGACAGTGAAAAAGTGGGCTACAAGAACTATATCTGAAAAGAAAATTATTCAAGAACAAAAACAGAAAATCCAGATAAGGTTTCGTGATGAAGTTGGACTGATAATTGATATGCCAACATCTGGTGGCTCTGGGTCTTCAAATAATGGAAACACTGCTAGAAAATTTTTTTAGAATGCAGAGAAGTCTGCTCAAATTCTTGAACTTAATGTCAGTATGATAAAGATGTTGCATGTGATTTTGTGTACATTGTCATCTAACTTTCTAATTGATTCTTCACTATTTAGAGAATACTGCTACAAAACAGCTGAGAAGTATGTAATCCTTTATCCATGGTATCATATGCCACAGAGTCTGCATCACATTCTTATTCATGGTTGGCAAGTTGTAGAGAGAATGGCTTTGCCTATTGGCATGCTCAGCAAAGAGGCACAAGAAGCTCAAAATAAAATTTTAAGAAATTTCGAGAATCATTTTCTAGAAAGTGTTCGCGTTCCAAAACAAACGAAGATTTATTAAGGCGACTAATGTGTTCTTCTGACCCTTTGATAAGTAGTTTGAGAAAACCCCACCATCCTAAGAAAAACGCTCTTCCAAATGGAGTTTTTGATCTTCTTAAAGAGGTTCCAATTTTTGACTAAGTGTCAATGACATAGTTTTGATTTTCGTTGGTGTTTAAGATGGTGTTTACTTTATAAGTATTTAATATTTACATAATAAAATAATGAATATAAAAGTTTGTTTTCTTATATATTCGTTATAAAATTTTTTGTATCTCTAATTGGATAAAAACTTGCTTATTTTTATATGGTTGCTAAGGGTATCTAAACTACACAGTTAAAATTTAATTAACTGTTCCTGTAAACCTTTATAGTTAAGAGTGTTTTAAAAGTTTTTATTTCATTTTTTAAAGAAATTTTGAATTAAGAAAAAGTTTCAAAAAAAATTACCAACTGGTTTCTAAGAGCACATAACAGCATAGTAACACCAAAAATTGATAATTTTTTGTTTGTGTTATCATTCAAATACATAAAATAGCAATGTAGCATTAATATCAGTTTAGTTTATAACTTTGATATTTTGAGAAAGTCTTTTTATTTAGGTAACTATGCAAAATGCCTGTTGACATGAAATATAGGTATCCATGGCAACCAAATAAACAATCTAATGGTGCCATTAGATTTGTTATATGAAATATACTCAAGCTGCTAATTATGGGAAAAACCTGATAAATATTTTAAAAGTTATTAAATTTGTCCAGCTAATAATGATTTTGGCCCACTGTGCGATGTAGCAGTGATATAAGTCGCGATATAAAAACGATATACGAAGCGGGAAAAAATATTGCAAAAAAGTAAAGTTTTCTCTACGGTCCGAATTACAAGTAACTTTGAGACCATTTCTAAATCGAAATAATCGAAAAGTAAAATTTCCTCTACGGTCCGAATTACAAGTCATTTCTAAATCAAAATATCCGAGAAGTAAAGAGATCTCTACGGTCCGATTTTAATGTAATTTTGAGACCATAACAAACGCCTGATAAAATTTTATTAAAAAACTAGTAAATTATAAATAAAACTATAAGGTAAACCAATAATAGTATGTAAATAGTAACAATTAGGAAATGAAACTTAGTAAAGAAAAAATAGATTTTTTATTTATGTTTTTTTATGCGCCGTCTGGATTAGAAATTTCTTGATCGATTTGATGTTTTTGAAACTCGCAATAGGTTGAGTTGGCCATATATTTTTAATATCAGTATCCTGTTCAACAATATTCCAGTGCTTTTTAACTATTTTATTTATGAGTTTTCCAACTTTTCCAAATGTTGTAACCATCGGTAAAATTTTCTCTTTCTCTCTTTCTTCTTTATATTTGTTGTTGATAAGTTCGTGTTGTGTATGTCGCAGTGCTTGTTTAAAACCTTTGTTAATAGATTAAATAGGGTAGCCTCGTATAACTAAAATTTGTGCTAATTGTTTTAACTCTTTTATTAGGTTGTAATTGTTGGATATAATCTTATTGTATCTTAACGCTTGGCTATATATTAAATTGCTTTTTTGATGAGGGGGATGGAATGAATTATAATGCAATAGTGCTGTTGTATCAGTTGCCTTTTTGTATATTGTTGTTTCTAACTGTCCATCTAGCTTTTTGTTAATTGTTAAATTCATGAAATTAATAGTGGTAGAATTATTGAAAGTAAATTTGATCGTTGTGTGGATGGCATTCATAAATTCGAAAACTTGTGTTAGTATCTCCGGAGGCCCATGAAAAATAAAAAATATATCATCTATAAAACGTTTATAAAAAGAAATCCACATTGAAAATTGGTCAATTATTTTCTCATCAATTCTTCCCATAAATAGATTAGCATAGGGTGGAGCCATACGTGTCCCCATGGTAGTACCTGTTAAATGTAAAAAATGATCAGTCGAAAATTGAAAGTTGCTGTGGGTTAGGATTGTTTCTAATATAATGTCAATAAAAGCAATAGGTGGGCGTTTAATGGGTCCGTTAAATGGCGGTGCTCTCTTGATCCTAACCATTACAAATTATTTGATATTTTCTGAATATTCTTTAGATTCTCCAAACATCGCAAGTTATTTAAAAACTTTAGATATAGTTATAAAAACATAAAATATCTCAAAAAATTTATTTTATTAATTTAACTCCACATTGTTTTCTGTAAATATAACAGATAATTTAAACAAAAAAAACAACACCATATAAAACAAATAAATCAATCACCACCACCCCCTCCTCCACAACTACTACCACATCCTCCACCTCCCCCCGAACTACTGCCACATCCTCCTCCTCCTCCTCCGCAACTACTTCCACAACCACCCCCACGATTATTTTCACAAACGTTATTATCACCACAACTACTGCCGCATCCACCTCCACTTCCACAATTACCACAACCACTATTATTTTCTATCCAATAAGCGTCACACCTATCCAAACTTTCAGAATCGCTATTATAGTTATCTTCTTCACCATCAACATTACTGTCATCACTGCAACGTTTAGAAACTTTAGGAACTTGAATGAAATAACCTCTTAGTGTCCCAACATGGTACCATTTCGGGAGAGTAGTTGCATACAAGCCACCAATGACTAATAAAGCCATTGCATCTAAATTTAAATTTCCGGGCCGATTTGGCGGTAAATAAACACCACCTGCTTTAGGTGGTGGAGGGCGTGGCTGACAAAGAACAAACAAAATGGCAATTGAATATGCAACACACAAAAATTCAGGAACATCCAAAACACTTCCAGAAAATCGAATATAGCCACTAAGTAAGTCAACACTTCCACGCCCTTGTTCTGTAGCCCACTCAAATTTAACATCATTTTTCATAGTCACAATTTCGTACCTAGAGTTTTTTCCATTTAATGTAAACAACTCCAATTCGATTAGCCCGCGTTGGCCTCTACAAATTCTTTTTGCCTTAGTAAATCCTTTCCATCGTGACTTTAGTAATCCCCAATCATTTTTTGATCCTCTGATCAACATAGATCTTTCGAAAGATTGCTCATGTGTAAAAACATTTTGAGATTTTGAAACCTGTTTTTCACTTGGTAAAGAAAACCTTCCTACTGTGTGAGAAGTAGCAAGTACATTTTCAGACAGATCAATAACTTCAACTACAGATAATATAGGATCGCGTGAATGAACTACTCTAATTTTAAAAGCTGATAATCCATATGCTGTATGCAAAATGTTGTCATTGTATTGGCATTTAGCTTCATTTTTGTATTCAGACCCAGGAGATATCAAATGCAAGTTGGGCACGACATTTTTGAGATGAGGTGAATCAATAAATAATCGATTAACTGAAGACGCCTCAAATGAGTAGTTCGATAATGTCTCAGAGTAACGCATTGTTAAAATGCAATTAATCATTTCTCCTGTAAGACTGCACTGTAACTGAATAGTTATTGAACGTAAATTCGGATCTTCAGGAACAACTAATGGTGGAAACATCACACGAGATGTGTATTTTGTAAGCGAAGCAGGATAGTCACAATATATTTCTAACGACCTACTTTCTTCAGTGCTGTATTGAAAATGACCTTCACCTAAATGAAAAAAATTGTTTTATTTATATTATTTGTCCTAAGAACACTTTAAGTAATTGCTTTTCTAATTTTTCGACTCTTGCTTTTATAAATTTTTAAAAAAAATTTTACAGAAAGAAAATATTATTAAAAAACTTTATTGTAAATTTAATAATAAATAATAATAATAAACTTACTTAATTTACTAATAATAATTAAAAAAATAATTAAAGCCTTATTTTCAAGCTAATATAATTATTTTTGAAGTTATTAAGATGCTCTTTACGGTCATATCACAGAACACTGTGGATAAGAATTTAAAAGGAAATCACGCCTTCTTCCTTAACAATGTCGCTAATTGGACTAGAGCCAGCGTCGAACTAGGATCTATGGGCTCTGAGCCAGAGCTCTACCCACTGCGCCACGACTGCTTTGAAAAATAAGAATCAATAACTCAAAGAAATGGAGCTCCATCTAGCTGGGTGCACATAAAACTAAGAGAATCAGAAGACGTGGTTTTTGACACGGAAAAAAGGGTGGGACTGTAACATTTTGCCAACACTTTTTATTTAAAAAAACAAAACCACAAGTAATAGCAAAAATGCATCAACATTTATTATTTTCTTTATCTTATATTCGATCCAAAAGCAACTAAAATAATAATAAAACATTCACACTCATTATAACATCCACAATGTTTAAAGGTTAAGTCATGGGTGATTAAAACAAAAATAGTGAGAAACGTATTTATTAGGATGGCGAACAACTTTTATAAAAATTTATTGAACGTTCTGAAAACTTCAAAATGTTTTCATGATTTTAGTAAATATCTTATATGCTCTGATTATTTGTATTTAAATTATGATATTTATTTTGTTATCTTAAGTTATATTTTATAAACCTTTTTTTTTTTTGGTGAATTTTCTCATCTATAGGTTATTCATTTTTGCACTCATAATTACCAGGGTGTAAATATGACCTGCAAATATGAATTTTTAACTACGTAAAATCGTGACCTGATTTTACGAAGGCGAGCGCAACGCTAAATTATATAAAAACTTTCATTGCGCTCACTTTCGTAAAATCATAAAATATAGGAACCCTGTAGTTACTGATATATTTCATTAAAATATTTAATAGGTTAACATTAAAAATATGAATAAATGGAAATCTTATTAAATATTGTCCAAAATATGTTGCTATGATATCATTATATGTTGCTTATGTTGTTATGTTGCTTATGTTATGTTACTTACTTTGTTATGTTGTTTATTTTTTTATGTTGCTTATTTTAGTATGTTGCTTGTTTTGTTATGTTGCTTATTTTGTTATGTTGTTTATGTTGTTATGTTGCTTATTTTGTTATGTTGCTTATTTTGTTATGTTGTTTATGTTGTTTATGTTGTTATGTTGCTTATGTTGTTGTGTTGCTTATTATGTTATGTTGTTTATGTTGTTATTTTGTTTATGTTGTTTATGTTGTTATGTTGCTTATGTTGTTATGTTGCTTATGATGTTATGTTGCTTATGTTGTTATGTTGCTTATGTTGTTATGTTGCTTATGTTGTTATGTTGCTTATTTTGTTATGTTGCTTATTCTGTAATGTTGCTTATTTATTATGTTGTTTGTTTTGTTATTTTATTTTGTTCGTTTTTTTTCTTTGCATTAATGTTGTATTTTATCTTATACGTCTGAAAAATTAAATTTTCAATTTTGAAATATTAAATTTTCAGAAATGTAAAAACAAACTACTTTAAAACCTCATAACTTTTTTCCATCTTCAACAAGTGGCTCATTTTTTTCTAGAAATGTTTACTGGGTAGTTCTGTGTTAAAAATACTGGTTTTTGTAAACATTTATCTGATAAGAAAAAAATTATAGCCTCTTTAACTTTGTTTGAACTTTGAAAAATTGTAAAATGCTAAAAACGGCCAAAATAAAGTTAACTGTAATAGTTTTCTATTCATCAACAAGTCCTTACAGTTTAGTTTTCTGATTAGCTACTATTATATGCAACAAATAGGCAAAAAATTAGCCGCTTATAGCAGTTTAGAACTGAAATATATCTAAAAATGTATTGTTCATTTTCCAAAAAAGTCCTATTTTAAGCCATTTTGAAATGCTTGTAATTTTTTCTAACACTTTGTATTGATCTAAGCTTAACATCAATTAAGACCATAAGATGCAACTATCTGAAAATAGAACCATTTTTTACTTGTTGCATTCTCAACAAAAATGGCAGCTTGTTAATTAGTTGATAATTCAAAACAATTAATACAATATAATTTATTTAATCTTTTTTTTATTAGATAGGAGTAAACCCTTTTGTATTTTAGAGCTCAGGCTCATGTAATGTGGGAATGCTGTCACTAACTTGATACCAATGAGTATCTGGTGTTTTTGGATATTTGAAGTAACTGCCAGCTAAACAGTAACAGGTATCACCTCTTATAAGAGGCCTCTATAGTGGCTCCTCATAAGAACTGATGGCCTTAGCTGCATGCTCATTAGAAAATAACGAATATGTGCTTCTTGAGTGTAAAAAGTGTCCCGGAAAAGAAAGAATTGAAAAAAAAATTAAATGATCTGGTTGGCAATTCAGTTAATGAACTAACTTATAAGCAATGGTTGAAAACTGATAAATACTCCTTAAAAACAATAGTTAAAAACCTTGATGACAAAAAAGTCTGATTAACCAACTTTAAACAAACCATATTAGGTTATTCAAATGATGCTTTTCAAATTTGCTATAGGATAATTAGGATATTAAAAGCCTTGATGAGTTTCTTGAAGAGTTTAAAAACAACTTATATGAATTCACAAAACACAAGGGGGTTTACTCCTATCTAATAAAAAAAAAGATTAAATAAACAATACTGTATTAACTGTATTGAACTAGCAACTAATTATCAATTAAAAAGTAAAAACACAATCTAATAATTTAAGTGGTTTCTAACAAGTTTTGACTTTTTTATTTTTTATTTATTTTTATTATAGAATTATATTTTTTAAGTTCCCTGATGTATCATGAATATTCCCTTGATATATTATGAAAGTCTTATGAAAAATTGTTCAACATTGATTTTGTAAAACAACAAAGGTCTTTGAGATATAACACTCCTTAATTGTGTAAATTATGTTTAAAGTGTGATACTTTAAACATAATTTACACAATTAGGGAGTGTTGTATCTCAAATTTACCAATAATATTGAGTTTTAGTTGTTGCCCCTTTATTTGTGCCCCTACCCATATTGAAAACCAGATCAGCATGGGGACAATTAACCAAATCTTTCATTTTTTAAAGAAACAACTTATAAACAATTACACCCATTAAATATGCTATTAGGCAGGTTGGGAGGAGGGGGGCGATGGTTTCCAATAATGCATTCCACTCTGGATAATTGAAAAATATGGTTATTTTAAAATAATGCCATTTTTGTTGAGAATACAACAAGTAAAAAATGGTTCCATTTTCAGATAGCTGCATCTCATGGTCTTAATTGCTGTTAAGCTTAGATCAATACAAAGTGTTAGAAAAAATTATAAGCATTTCAAAATGGCTGAAAAATTTTTCTAATACAATACAAGTTAACAAAAACCAGTATTTTTAACATAGAACTACCCAGTAAACACTTCTAGAAAAAATGAGCTACTTGTTGAAAGATAGAAAAAAGTTATGAGGCTTTAGTCTGTTTTTACAATTCTTAAATCGAGGGGGGCAACTGTGCAGTGTTTATAAAGCTATATTTTCAGAAACATTGCACTTGGAAGCCTGAAATTTCCAATTTTACCTATCTACATAATGTAGAAAATGATATATAAAAATCAGCAAAATCTGAGATGGTGCCCCACAAAGTTTTCTCAAAATTTGTTGAAATATAATGATTTGACCCATGGTTAAGAGAGTTGAGAGGATTGAGAAAAAATCTCGAGTTTCAAAATTAAAAATGAATAATAAAACAGTAGAGGGTATAAGTTTATGTTAAAAATTTTTTTTTAAATAAATTTAAAACAAATGAATACACCTCTTAACTGTAGTGGCCCCTCTAATGCTTTAAAGATGAGAGTTTAATAATTATGATTTGAAAATTTTTTAAAATATGAACCTTGAAAAACAAGTAAAAAATTGAATGTTGTACTTTAAGAATTGAGTGTGTTTAAACTATACCTCTTTCTTATGAAGTAAAATATATACAAATATATTTTTACATACGAATAACCAAAGAATAAACTTAAAATCTAAACTTAAATCCACTTCACTTAAATCCACTTTCACTTGTCAAAATAATAACAAAAAGTAAAAGCTGAATAACTAGTAAAAGGACTAACTTATAGCAATTTATAGTATTTTACACACTTGAGAAATTTGGACTCATATTATTGTGAAACGGCATACTTAAAAACATTATAGAAAAAGGACAGTTTTTTAAAGAGATTTTTATGCTATATACCATGAGATCTAAAGAAATTAATTATCATGCACTAATTAACTCTAAAGAAATTAATTAAGTTACTAACAGATATTAATGTTGATATTATTTACCTATGTTTTTTAAGACAATATAAATAGGAATAAAAAAAACTTCATTTGTAATAGATTTATTTTACTAGAAACAGGTTCATTTCAGTTGAAGTAATTTAATATCATTTGAAATGGTTTCACTACACCTTAATATATAGGTTTTACTTTACTAGGAACAGGTTTATGGAGTTATTTTACTAGGAACAGATTTGTTTCAGTTAAAGTGATTTAATATCAGTTAGAATGGCTGCACTATATATTGAATGTAGATTTATTATGATAGGAACAGGTATATAATTTTTTTTTTTACTTGGAACATGTTTGTTTTATTTGAAGTAATTTAATATCAGTTAGGCTTCATTACACCTTGTGTTAAACTCATATGAGATGATCAAAAAAGATTTGTTTAGTAATCATCTGTTTATTAATCATCTGATTAGAAATTATCAATTTGACAATTATTAATCTGTTTTTAGCCATCTGTTTAGTAACTATAATTCATGACTTCTAGCCATCTTTTTACTAATTATGATTCATGACTATTAAAAAAAAAAAACATTACCTTTTTTTTTTTTTACAATTGCATTAAAAAAACTATGCAAGGTTATAACTCTGTGATAATGTGTAATGAATTAAAAACATAATGTTGAATTTCTTTAACAAAGGACTAACTAACTACTTTATATACATATAAGGTATCCTTTGTTAGAGAAATTCAACATTATGTTTTAAATTTATTACACATATTAACACAGAGTTATAAACTTGCATAGTTTTTTAATGCAATTGTAAAAACAAAAAAAAGTAATGCTTTAAAAGTCATGAATCATAATTAGTAAACAGATGGCTAGAATTCATGACAAATGTGCATAATAAGTTTCCACATGTGCATAATGTACACGCCTACATGCACATGCGCATAATAGGTTTTTATGTGCTGTTAAAGTTTTTTAAAAAGTATAAAAATATAAGGATTTGAAACTAAACTTTTTTCTGCTTTCATTAAAAATAAAACTAAATAGTTATGAACACCTTATCTTTAATTTCACTAATTTTTATTTTGTATTGTCTAATACATTTATAGTCACTTGATTAAAATAATAATATAAAACCAAATAAAAAGTTACCTTCTAAAAAATTATAACTTAATTCTCCATTAACAAGACTTATTGCTTTTGAAAATAAACCCACAAAAACTCCTTGGAGAGAAACCATTCCAATTTGAAAGTTAACCGTAGCATTATCAGCAACTGGGAATCTCCCAATGTATATTGACAGTGGTGAACACTGACAGATCTAAGATTAATTTAAAAATACAAGCCTAAAAATAATAAAAATTGATTAAATATAATGTTAAATAATTACTAATATGATATAATTATAACTATATATTAATATAAAATAAATATAACATTTAATTATAATATTAAAATTCATTTCTATTAAATAGACAAAAAGATTAAAAACAAAAACATTTTTAATAAAAATGTATATTTACATTTTATATAAATAAAAATATTATATTATTTTATAACAATTATAATAGTTTAATAATCTTTACTTTGCTAGCTAAACTCAAATAGTGTCCTTGATTTATTACTGTAAACTCAGGTAAAGGTGGTTCTCCTCTATACATAGCACCAGATACACCAAACTTTTGATTATATTTCTTCCATAACTTTTTAGTTGCAGCACTACTGGTACTCAGTTCTGAATTTGGGCTTCTGTCAGATGTTGAGTCATCGTGGTCAAGAATACTACCAAGCATATGCATCATATCAGACTGATATAATAAAACATGCTGCATGTGTGAATGCCATATTAAATCGTTATCATAACAAGGAACTATAAATGTATTTGAATTTTCTTTTTTAATTGTAATCATTACTTTATAACGCTTAACAGCATTCTGCAAAAATTTTGGGTCTCTAAAATGTGGTAGTGAAGAGTTATAATTAAAAACTCTTTGGCGCATTGAAGCTGCAACAATATCATAGGAGCACTTAAAAGACTTTGTTGAAATTAGTGTTGGATTTGAATTAGTAAGATCAACTTCAAATGGAATGTCTTTATAGGTATGTTTCCAATACCTTTTGGATGTTAATATCTTTTCAATAGTGAAATACATAGGAGCATGATCAATAATTTTACCAAACAGATTTAAGCAATCATGTTGATATGCAATAGGATTTAATATATGGCAATGCCACACCCATTCTATGTCTAATGGTGCAGGCAATAATTCACTGTATTTGACAACAAGAGGGAGCCAATAATTTTCATATCTATAAACTGCATTACGTAATACATTTTCACAGTATAGCACAGGATGCTTGTCAACAAGTCGCAAAAAATCATATTCCAACTGAGCTTTTTCTACCAAATTTAGTTTTGATGGTATTTGAGCTTTAGAAAAATCATTACCCATTTTAAAGCTTACATGATGGCTCTAGAATGCTAAATATTTTTATTACAATAATTATCTGGTATATTGTTAAATTATACTAAATTTTTGAAACACATAACTTTGTTTCAAAGTGATGAACTTCAGGCAAATGTAAAAACAATACACAAGATATTATCTTGTGTATTGATAACATGACGTGACACGTCATGTTATCTTAGATAACATGAGTAAATATTAATGGACAGATGCAACAGTTAAATTAAATAACAAAAACCACGATAAAAGCTCAATTTTCAATTTATAAGAGTTTTTAAGTAAGTTTTAAAGCTAAAGTGATTCTCAGTCATTCACAAAAGCTGAAAGACTATGATCTTATAAACCAAATTGCTATTTGTATTAAAAATAGAGGGACTGTCACGATAATTTTGGTCCGCCGATAAAAATGACCCCGGACTGAATTTCTCAGAAAATCAGCCGGATAATTTTTTTCTGAAAAAATTGGTCTGAGCTAGAAAAAATTGGTCTGTGTTATAATTTAGTTTGCATGTGCGCATATATCTTAAAAATTATCATGGAAGACGACCTTGTTCAAAATGTTTTTACACTCACTACTATTATTATTAATATTATTATTTTGTTATTATTATGTTTTTAGGTGATAGTAATATTATGTAAATACATATTTAACTACTTCACTATCATTATTACTTATTATTGATATATCTTAGCTTTAACTTTGATTTGATGTTTATTTTTATTTTAATAATGAGTATTAATATCATATAATATGATATTAATACTCATTATTAAAATAAAAATAAACATCAAATCAAAACGACATATTATTATTAATATATTAATATGACATTATTATTAGTATTATTATTTTCATTGTTGTTTATATTGATGTGTTGCATTTGTAAACTATTTTTTACTTTATTTGTATAACTGTTTGATAGCTTAACTATGTTTATGTTTTTAACTAAGTTATTGTATTTGTTAGGAATTTACTTTATACTAGTATTTGTACTATTGTAAATATCTTTGAAATGTTAATAACTAATTTTAGAATATATTTAATTTGATTTGAACAAGGTAATAAACAAATATTGATTGATTTATCAATCAATATTTATCAATTCTTGATTTATCAATATTTATTCATAACAATTATTTATTCTAAAATAAATAGCAGTTAATATTATTAATTATTTAGCCTAAATCATCAAATTTAGCCTAAATTTGAAATTTCTGCAAGCTAAGTTTTAAATGAAGAAATGATATTCAAATTAATATACATGCAACATATAACATAGCAATATAAGTCAAAAAAATAAAATTGTAAATTGTTTTCATTTCTGCCTTGCAACTTTAATTGATTTTTATATTTGTCTGTATTTTTTGTATGTATTTTTTGCCATAGCTTATTGATGGCATTAATAACTGAAAAAAGTTTTAATAACTGAATATAATAAAATAAGTTATGGAAAAACATCATCATCATCATTTTAGTGTCCTTGTTTCTCTCCTTGTATGAGTTGGATGTTTCTTTTAAAGTCGTTTCTCCAACATACACTTGAACACCTTTTTTCCTGAAATGTAGCTTTTTCAAATCATCTGATACACACTCTTTCCAAGTTTTTCTGTATCTACATCTACCTCTTTCTCCTGAAACTTTTAACTTTTTACATGCTGATAACCAGTCATCTGCATTCTTACGCTCTACATGCTCAAACCACCTTAATCTTTCCTGATACACGCTATCAAATACACTCACTATGCCTAATCTTTTTCTTGAATCATCACTGCTTTTCTTGTCTTTTAGAGTCACACTGCACATCCATCTAATCATCATTCTTTCTATCTTTTCCAAACGCTGAACACCATTGACCTTGATTGCCTATGTTTCACTGCCATACATTATAACACTCTGGATGTATATGCTGTATAACTTTCCTTTAACCTTTAATGAATGCACCTCTTGCTGTTAAAAGAGAATATAATTCTCTGAACTTGGCCCAAGTAGTAAGTGACCGGGGCCTTAGCCCTGGCTCAAAATAGAGCTTTTCACAAACCCGGTTCTGGCTAAACAAACACAATTTGCGGGGATTACCAGCTAGGGCTGGAATTTTTTTTTTTTTAATTTATTCTTTTTTAATGCTTTTGTTTATTCTGTTCAAGTTAGTATCTGTAATCAAAGTTAACGAAAATATATGAAAAAGTCATAAAAAGAATATATACATTTAATATAGTAGTTTTAGTTTCTTTTTCATTCAATTAATTCTTAGTAGCCCCTCCCCCCCCTTTTTTTTTTTTTAATGATAGATACCTTACTCTTACTTACTCTGAAGCAGACCTTACTCTTGCCCTAGATGCTTCTTCTGCTCTTCCAGCTAATCCAATTTTATCACCAAGATAAAGAAAATTTAATAACACACTTTATCTTTCCTCCACTTTTTATTTCAACATCTTTTTTAACTTCTCTATACTTATCAAGAATAGGTTTTCTATACTCAAAACCAACAATCTTAAGAGAACCTTGAATACCACTACATCTCTTATGAACCAATTGCCTACAAACTGTACAAACAATAAAAATTGCTCAAACTCCATACCTACACACTCCACATGACTCCATACTCCATACCTACACACTCCACATACCTACACACTCCACTTGCCAGTATTTTCTGCTTGTTCATTCTTGACTGTACAGTGCATAACTTTTGTTTTATTCATGTTTTATCTTAAGCCCTTTAGCTTCAATTCCATCTTTCCCAACTTCAAATCTTAATACTAATTTCTCTTCTGTTTCTGTTTTCTGCTATCAGACACAAATTATCTGCATAGAATAACTCCCATGGTAAACCAACTTTGAATTCTTTAGAGAAAGCTTCCAAAACAAAAATAAAAAGCAAAGAACTAAGCACTGAACCCTGATGCACACTAACTTTTACTTTAAAACTATCACTCTGTCCATCTCTTGTTTTGATTGTTGTTGTGACATTTTCATACATAGCCATGATGACTGCCACTAGCCATTCTTGAATACCTAAACACTAACAATTATAAATTAATACCTATATGCAATGTTGTTATTTAAAGGAACTATTTCTGCGATTTACCATAAATCATGATGAGAGAAGAAAAATATTAGTAGCTTGCCATGTCCATCCTACTTCTAGCCATATGGGTAAAACAAGGACATTGGGCAGGGTAAAAGAGCATTTCATGTGACATGGAATGGTAAAAAATGTCCATGAGTTGGTAATTTACATTTTATTTTATTATGTATTAGAGTAAATAGAGAAAATTTTGATTTTCCCTAATAATTTATAATAAAGTATTGCTATACCATTCTATTCTGTTTCAGCTTATATTATGTGATGTATGCCAGAGAATGAATAGAAAATTAAACTGTTGAAAACCAGAGTTGCAACCAATAAAGGTAAAAACTCAATGGTATATGGTTGGCATAGATTTTATTGGCCCACTCAGTCCAATTAGTGAAGATGGTTGTAAATACATTTTAACTATTAGTGGCTATTTTTCAAAGTGGGTTGAAGTAATAGCCACTAAAAACAAAATGGTGGTTACAGTGGCAGGATGTCTATTCAATGTATTACATTTTTATTTCTGTCATTGTTTTAGCATCCTTGCTAAATGCTACCTTTCTGGGTATCAAGTTTTTTGGGTCCAAGTAGTTTGCATCTTTACATTCTGTATTTCCAAACGACCTTAAAATTCCCTTATAATCTCAACTTGATACACTGACTTTCTCTCCAATTTCTTTATACAGAAATTTATTTATATATGAAAATTTATTACAAAAATATTAATTGTTAAACTTATATGTAATGAAAATATTTTGGATATCTAAAAAAAACAAAAAGTAAAGAAAATATCAGGAATTCCAGAAATATCCAGAAAAAGATAATCCTTGAAAATTAATATTTTTTTGGATCTAGTCTAAAAGAGAAAAGGCATCAATGGAAGAATCAGTCTAAATGTGATAAGTACACTTATGATAAGTGTTGCTGAAGTTGCTCTTTTTAATTTCTAATCTGAATTGTTTTCTTAATTCACATGCTTGTCATTTCTTTTCAGCTTTGAAAATTTCCCTATAAATTTATTTTACATGCCACTTTCTTTCTGATCAATAAATTTCTTAAACTTTAATAAATTAAAAATTACACTTGAATGAAGATAAAATAATATTATAATATTATATCTTTTTAAAGAGTTCAAATGTGATGATCTTAGAGATCAAAAGTGATGATCTTGAAAATCTGATGGTGTATTTGTTAGGATGCACTAGGGAAAGTTAAGTTGGTTTGGGTATGTAGAGCATAAAGGTGCTACTGATTGGGTATCAGCATTTAGAGAGAAGTTTTATAAGAAAAAGAGAGGTAGATATAAAATTTTTTTGAAAGAGTTTAAGAAAGACGATGCACAAGATTGATGAAACATGCAATATCTGATTTAGTATAAAGCGTGGGGGAGAGCTGCCCCTCCCCACCCCCGCCCCACACACACACTCTAGAACAGTCAAAGGACGCCCCTTAAAACATTTAAAAATAGTATATGTATGTAATATGTATGATAAAAGTCATGTAAAAGTCATGTAAAAGTGGTTATTACCACCAGAGTTGTTAGTCCTTGGCCTTAAAAGTTAAAAGTTTTAGTTTTTTAATAAGAGGGGCCACAAGTTAGAGTTTTTATTTATTAATATTTTATCTTTTATTTTTAACATCATAGACTATGAACAAGCTGCAAGTATGATGCTTTTTTTATTTTCTATTTATTTAGGTTTAAATTATTTTTAAAATATGCTTATGGTTTTTATATTAAATTAAAGTTTTATTTCTTTAGTTTTACCTTTTATTTAAATTTCATTGAACTACCTACTGTTGAAATATGGGTTCAATATGGTAAATTTTAATGATTTGAAATTTATTTTATTGATCATTAGCCAATAGTTAAAGAAAAGAAATTGACTTAAAAATAATTAAGGTAAAAACACTTTATTAACTGGTAACGTTGCAGTTTAATGTTTTTTGTCGATATATTGTAGGTTTGTATCAGTTTAATGTTTTTGTCGATATATTGTACTTGTGATGTTAATAATAATATTTTTTATTAAACTTAAGATGATATTATTTTAATTTTTTGCTTAATATAATCTTAGATTTTAAATATGTTTAAAATGATTTGAATGCAGTACATAAAGGTTTAAAAACGGAAGTAATATAATTAGGCTGTCTAAATA